GGTAAGTAGGATGTACTACTCGAAGGGAAGAGAGAAAAGGAGCATCTTACGAAAACTTCCCATCTATTTAGCAGTTTCTCAAACAACGGGAATCTGATTCTCAACACCAGTAAAACATAAGCAAAGCTGTCAAGTGTCTCTCATCTCTTCTTCAACCTCTTCAAACTGCCTATGTCTTTATTCCCAGTTTTCCAAAATTCTGGCTACATTAGGTCAAAGGCTACCCTTCGACAGCTGGCCCCATTTTCATCCCCATCCAGCCCAGCCTTCCTCCACTCTTATGTGCCATTTTCACTAGCGCCTGCTTCTCGGTCCTTTGGAACCTCTAACTCACTACCCTCCAGGGAAACCTAGAACAGCCTTTGGAATCAGGAGAGGTTTAAATCCCAGATCTGCAAATTATCAACTGTGCTAACCTGGCAAGTTACTGTATCTGAAATGTCAGTTTCCTCATCTGTAAAAGATGATAAAAATAACTAATATCCCAGGATCTTTGTGTAGATTAAATGAAATAATGTTTTTTATAAAATACTTGGTAAGTACCCAATAAATGGCAGCTGTTGCAATTGTTATCATCATTGCAATCATTAACCCTCTTTCTCTTCACACTGACTCAAACTTTTCTTTCCCTGACGATACTGATTCCCATCCAAACTCAACCAGCAGAGACTCCTCCTTCTATCTGAATCCCTCCCATTGTGTGTGTGTGGGGGTGGTGGTGAGGGTGGCTCTGCATTCCCGCTTCCAGGTGCTGCTCTGTCATCATCTCACACCCTCTCCTCCTGATGTGCATCCATCTACTTCAACACTAAAAATGCTCCATCTCCGGATTTCAGCCTGAACTTCTGCCTTGCCTCATCCTCATCATCCTCACGACCTTCTGTCATTCCGTTTCTCCCACTTCCTCACTTTAAAGCCTTTGGGAACCTGGTAAAGTCTATGGGCCCATTCTCAATAAAATATTTTAAAATGTAAATGAAATGCACATGGTTACAAAGGGAATAGTTATGAAAATATTTTAAAATTTGATATATAGTAATATATTGGCTTCTTTATCAACACATTAATGAGTCCTAGCAGCAAGTCCTACCATAATTTCAAGGCAGTGTAAATATTTCAAGATAACCGCATTAACCATGGTACGAAAGAATTTATGATTTCTATGAGTTGCAAAGTCCTAGGTACTGCTAATATTACTATACTTTTTTGCCTACATTCTTAGTGGAAGGAAATGCTATGTTTTAGTTAGATGTTAATGAAAATAAAGATGTAATTTTTTTCACATCCAAGTTCACAGACCCTTGATTTCTACTCATGGATTCATCAGGTTAAGAACCTCTACATTAAATGACTTACTCTTCCTCAGCCCCACCTAAATTCACTAAGTTCATCCATAGACTCTACAGAATTATATCAAAGTAAAACAGACTCTAAGGATAGGGCTTGAGAAATCATCTTCAATTTTAAATCTTCATGTTTTGTTTTTTGTGGGTTTTTTTGCGGTACACGGGCCTCTCACTGTTGTGGCCTCTCACGTTGCAGAGCACAGGCTCCGGACGCGCAGGCTCAGCGGCCATGGCTCACGGGCCCAGCCACTCCGTGGCATGTGGGATCTTCCCGGACCGGGGCACGAACCCGTGTCCCCTACATCGGCAGGCAGACTCTCAACCACTGCACCACCAGGGAAGCCCAAATCTTCATGTTTTAGTGTTAGAACTAAACCCCAGTTCTTCTGACTTCTATACCCTTTGTTTCTTCCTTCATACATCCTTGCTCCTGTGGCTCTCCTCCCAGGCATCTACCTACTTACATGTAAATTTCAGCCTGACCCTCAAGATCCTCAGTAATATAGCTTTGACATATGTTTCATTCTTATCACTTATTCTTCTATCCACATCATTGCAGGATGTTTATTATCATCATTCCCTCACTAAATGCCACCAGTGCTCCCTGGTCAGTAGAACAACCAAAAGCAGCCACATTCACCTCAAACGTGCCCTATGGGGATAACCCTCCACCCCAACCCCATTTTCATTTAGAAAACATGTCCACAGACCCTGTCTCTGAGTCTTTGTGTTGTTTCCTTATTAGCCCCACTACTTACTTCACCACTGCCTATATATCAGACTTTTAGGGTTCATCTCAACTGACACCTCCTCCATGAAGACATTCCTAATCTCCATAACCAGATGTGAGCTCTCTTTTGAAATCAAATACAATTTTATTTTATAGAATTTCTATTATAATTCTTCTCTTCCCCTACAAAGTGTGACCATCTTTTGGTGTATTTTCCCCACCCTTAAGTAAATCTGTAAGCTTCCTGACAGAAGTGTCACTTTTTTACCTCAAGGTATTCTATAAAGCCCGACAGACACTCAATATTGGAGTGGAATTAAGAAGTTTTAGGGGGTTTGATTTTTTTTCTTTTCTTTTCTAACTCTTGTTCTTCAATGCCAGTTCCAAAAACAAAAAACCTACTCTTAAAGCCTTTTCAAATATTAAGACAGAGATGAATGAAATCTTGACAACAGTTTTAAAGGCTAACACTTATTGAGTACTCACTATGTGCCAGGCATTTTTCTAAGTGTTTTTACATGTTTCCTCACTTAATCCTCACAATTGCCCAATGTGATAGTTACTATTATCCATATTTTATAGATGAGATTAAGTTACTTGCTCAAGGCCATGTACATAGCTAGTAAGTGCTAAAGTCACAATTTGAACAGAGCCAGTCTGACTCTATAGTTTAACCAGTTCATTTATGCCATCTTCACGGTGGAACACTGGAACTTGACAGGGAAATTAAGTATCTGTTTTTCCCTAAATATAAGGATTCATAATTTTTTCCAAACTAGTAGTATTAAGTGAATACGTAAAGTCTTAATTTTGAAACACTTGTTCTGGCTGTAATCTAGTGTAATTTGATATGCTCTTTTACAATATGACCATACCTATACGACCTATGTTTTGCATATTTTATTCCTTTGCAAACAAGTATCTTTGGTGTTTGGGGCCAACTCCATACTATGTGGAAATTCAATAACACTTTATGTTTTAAAAATAAAGACTGAAAAAAAAAGAAGAAAAATTTTGCAGAAATTGACAAGCTGAAATTAATATGAAAATACAAGGTGTTCAGAATTGCCAAAATTATCTTGAAAAAGAACAAAGTTAGAGGACTCACACTTCTCAGTTTCAAAATTTACTACAAAGCTATAGTAATCAAGATAGCATGGTACTGGATAAACAAGGACCTACTGTACAGCACAGAGAACTATATTCAATATCCTGTGACAAACCACAATGGAAAAGAATATGAAAAATTGTATAGAGATGTATAACTGAATCACTTTGCTGTACAGCAGAAACTAACACAACACTGTAAATCAACTATACGTCATATACATACGGCATGAGCATAAACATACAGATAAATGGAATAGAATTGAGAGTCCAGAAATAAACTCTTACATTTATGGTCAATTAATTTTCAATAAGAATGCCAAGACTATTCAATGGGGAAAGAACAGTCTTTTCAAGAAACAGTGCTGGGACAACTGGACGTCCACATGCAAAACAAGGAATTTGGACACCTATCTCACACCATACACAAAAATCAATTCAAAATGGATTTAAAAACCTAAATGTAAGAGCTAAAACTATAAAACTCTTAGAAAGAAGTACATAAATCTTTGTGATCGTGGATTAAACAATGGTTTCTTAAATATGACACCAAAAGCACAAGCAACCAAATAAAAAATAGAAAATAGATAAACTGGACTTTATTGGTGTTTCAAAGGATACCATCAAGAAAGTAAAAAAATCCACAGAATGGGAGATAATGTTCTTAAATCATGTATATCTGATAAAGGACTTGTATCCAGAATATGCAAAGAACTCTTATAACTCAATACATATAAAGACAAATAAGCAATTTTAAAACGATCTAAGAACTTGAATACACACTTCTCCAAAGAAGATATACAAATGGCCACAAGCATATGAAAAGATGCTAAACATCCTTAGTCACTAAGAAAATGCAAATCAAAACCAGAATAATGTACCATCTTACACACACTGGATGGTTAAAATTAAAGACAACAAGGGTTGGTGAGGAAGCAGAAAAATTGGAACCTTCATACATTGTTAATGGAATTGCAAAATGGTGCAGCCACTTTGGAAAACAATTTGGCAGTTCCTTAAATAGCTAAACACAGAGCTTCCATATGACCAGCAATTCCATTCCTAGGCATATTCCCAGAAGAAAGGAAAATAAATGTCCACATAAAATCATATACACAAGTGTTCACAAAAGTGTTATTCATAATAGCCAGAAGTAGGAACAACCAAAATACCCATCAACTGATAAATAAACAAAATGTAGTATATCCATCTACTAAAATATTATTCAGTCACAAAAAAGAATGAAGTGCTGATACATGCTACAATGTGGATAAATCTGAAAACATTATGTTAAGTGAAAGGAGTCAGCCACCAAAGGCCACATATGATTCCATGTATATGAAATGTCTGGAATAGGCAAATCCACACGAACAGAAAGTAAATTAGTTAATAGGTACAGGGTTTCTTTTTGGAGTAATGAGAATATTCTGGAATTTGAGAGTAGTGATCACTGTATAACTCTGCAAATATATCTAAAACCAATGAACTGTACACTTGAAAAGGGTGAATTACATCTCAATAAAGTTATTTTTTTAAAAAAACATGATACCACTTCATGCCCACCAGGATGGCTATAAATCAAAAAGACATTAGACTTTCATATAATCTGATACTCTAAATGGCCTTTAATATTATAAAACTTGGACTTTTGAACATCAGCTGACAAAGAAGCACTATGAGCTCTGAGCTGATGCTGTGTGCCAGCTAATACCACAATCTTTGTGTAGCAGCTTATACAATATTGGATTTTATATTTCATTTCCCCTTATTTTGTAAACATGACAGGAAAATAGAAAAAAGAAAGTGCTAAAACTCACGGTAAGAAATGTAGGTCTCAAACTTCATATAATTAATATAAAGATAGAAATAATCATCAGCCTCAATGAAATGCTCACTGGACTTTAAGTCAATCAACTGTATGTTTGACTATAAAAGAACAAAATAAAGAACATCTATGAAATGCTAGAACTCTAAGATTATGTCAAGACTATATGATTAAAATAATTTTATAATGTTTTTAATATTTCCATAATATTTTACACTCTCTGGGACAGAACCTTCCTTAAAATATTGTTTGAAAGCATCTATGGCTCAGTTCCTTCACATTCAGCTGTTTTAAGTGTTTACAGGAACACACTATGTACAAAAATAAGAGTCTCTCTCTAGGTCTCTCTCTCTAGACATGGGCTGGTAGCCACAAAACTGGCCAAGCACAGTGAATCAGGTTTAGGAACCAGATACAAGACACAGGAAAGACTACCATGCAAGTCAGAGAGACAATGTCATTACACAATAAGTGGTGGCTCTCTCCATCAAATAGAATGCAGTTAAATTTTAAAAATAAGAATCAAAATTCAACCTATTAAACACAAAATAGAAGACAATATAGACAAGTGAAAATACTATATTGAGGTAGCAGAAGTGTAGGGTGGATTTTTTTTCTATGATATCTAGTTAAAGTAACTTGGAAATAACTTAAATATGTATGTGTACCTCTCCATTAAAACTCCCTGATAACTTACTAGATAGAGTCCTAACTATGGACTCTCCTGACCTGCTCCATTATAGGATCATCCAAGTCTCAGGACTCCTTAATTGTCTCCTTAATCCCAGATCTAATTCCCCATCTTAGATTCATTAGCTATAATTTGATACAACTGAATTGATCAGAACAGTGCTGTATAAATAGCAAGTAGCTACAAGGATGCCACATTGTACAACTCCAGGAGTGCCATTCACATTACACTGAAAACAGTGCCCCCCTGGAGTTGTGCAACATGGTAGCCACATATCTACCTTTTGGTATCAGTCAGTATTTACTTTCTTCCAATGCCTACATCAAATTTTAAATCATCCCAGGGACTTCCGTGGTGGTCCAGTGGTAAAGAATCTGCCTTCCAATGCAGGGGACGTGAGTTCGATCCCTGGTCGGGGAACTAAGATCCCACATGCCGCAGGGCAAATAAGCCCGTGCACCACAACTACTGGGCTTGCATGCCTCAACAAGAGAGCCCGTGTGCCACAAACTACAGAGCCCACTTGCTCCGGAGCTCACAAACCCTGGAGCCCGCATGCCACAACTAAAGAGAAGCCTGTGCACCACAACTGGAGAGAGGCCCATGCACCTCAACAAAAGATCCCACGTGCCACAACTAAGACCCAACGCAGACAAAAAAAAGAAAGTAATAAATTAAATATTTTTTAAAAAAATTTTAAATCATCCCAGCCTTCAAGCCTTTTAAATTCATACTTTTTACCTGTGTCAGTTTGATATGGTGTATTTGCCTAGACACACTCAAAACTTGCTGTCAATAATTCTCTCATCCTTTTGTTATCAGACTTCTATTGGACTTCTAACTTTCCTCTCTTTACCTTTCCTGCTTATAAAATAACTTCTTTTAAAACCCATGAATTCCCAATTCTTATTATATTGTCTTAGTATAAAATATAAGTATTATATTTATACTTATTAATTTAATTTTCAATAACATTATAAATGAAAGATAATTCTCTGTAGAATTTTTTGGGGATTCATTCTTGAATGACAGTGGTATCTGGACTATTGACTTAAAATAGGGGAAAACTGAGTTTCTAAATTTCTGGCGGAATTGGTTAGAGGGTAGCACAATAATTTTTCTACCTAATACAAACATGTATTTTGTTTCCATTCTCCTAAAAATAAGATGACATTAACATATATATTTTTAGATATGTTTGCCCTTGGACAATGCTAAATCCTAAGGTTAACAGAATTTTTAATCTTCTAATGTTGTCTTCTCACTAATACAAATTCAATGGGGTTGGTTTAACGTAAAAACAGAAAAATGGATACCTCTGGGAAATTCTTTTGCATAGACTTACACTATAAAGGATCTTTTCATTCAGTCATTCACCAAATGATGACTCTCAAGATTGCCTGCTGGTGGTTAATACATTGACAAAAGGGGATTCAAAGTGTCAAATTTTATGAAGAAGAGAGAAAAGAAAACTTTGCCACCAAAAAGTCACATCAAAAATTTTTTAAATTCATTTCTGATACGTTAATGGTAAAATCTAGTATCTTAATATTTATGTCCAAATGGAGGATCCTCCTATCATAATTCTAACAGAACATCCACTTCAGAATCTTGTCTCTTTTTACTTTCTTTTATTCCAGGCTGAAAGAGATCATCCAATAGCTTTATTGACTGAGTTTACTGGCTGTCAGAACTTTAAATGAAATCTGTGTTCAAAACAAAGTCTGAAACTCTATTCTAAATCTAATGATGTAGTTTTGTTGCTGTCTTTCCAGTAAAATATTAGCACAACTTTTGGCTGGTCCTTGGCTGAAGCTGATTTTTTTATTATTAATAGGCAAGATAAATCCATCAGCCTATCTCTCAATTTTCATGAATGCATGCATTCATTCATACATATTGTTGAATACTTTTTATATGCATATTATTCTAATAATTTCTGATCCTAACCATTTATTCTCAGTCATGGGGATGATTGTATTGTAAGATCTGTCTTGTCTGTGCAATATTCTGAGTATTTTCAATATAATGCAATGTAAAGGAAGTTTCTCCCTCCTCTCACCTCAACTTTGTCCAGGTGTAATTTTGTCTCATCCCCAAATATGCTGTGAAAATAACAGAATGCTATTCTGTAATTCTAAGCTTGTATATAGTCCTTGTAAGAGAACACTTACAGTCAGTTCTGATTTGTTTGAAGATATGGTGCTCTCATTTGATGTGTTTGTTGTAGAATCCTGTGACTACTGCAGGTGTATAGGAACAACAAATTGCAGTACTTTAGACGAGGGAGCTGCAGTGTATAAAATCAGGCATACCACTGGCTTCTTGTTGTACCTGTACTGCTTTTGCATTCTACGAAAATCAGTACCATACTTAACTTGTCCAGATTTCATCTAGGGTAAAGGAAAATTTTAGATTACTGACTATTTTTTGAATTCAATAAAATATCTTCACCAGGAAATGCCAAACCTGATTTCTCTCATCAGGCATACCAAAGCAATCTATCTGCCCACCCTCTTTCAGTTTTGCATGTAACTCTAAACCTAACAAATAGGCTTCCTGAAGGGAAAATATCAATGACTTTAAATGATACCCAATTTTATGTCTTTATAAGTCACCTTTTCACACTGAAACATGGAAGCTTCATAAAATAAGTTAATACTTGCTTTCAAAGCAACAATATTATTTGCCTTCATTATAAATAAACAGAATTCATTTGAGACAATGATTTTTCAAATGAAAGGATTAAAATAATCCCATTAAAACCAAAACAAAGGCATTTTAAGTTCTTACATCTTTATTAAAGTACTTATTTTATAAACCTGGCTCAATAATAACTCATACTTTTATATCACATATTTGCCTTTAAGCAATACATAACACACTTAAGGCAGATTTACCTTATAGATGGCCACTGCACTGATTTATACAAATAGCAAAAATCACATGGAGGAGCATCTACTGATATCTTTCCTGGTACTTATCTTTAGATTTTAAAACTGCATAATAAGTAGAGTTTCCATAAAATTTCATTTTTGAGATAGGAAACAAACAATTTTGCCTTTATCTGTTAGATTGGATGTAGTTATTAGTAATAACATAACCTTTAAATCTGTAGGGAAAACCAATACTTTACCTTCACTGCTCAGACAAGGCTCAACAGCAAGTAAAATGAGGTGCCACTGTAAAATCATATTGCTAAGTATTACCTTAACTCAAAATTCTGCTTATGTAATTATATCATATCACAGCTAAAAATTACTATTTAATATATCAAGATACATCCAAAAGCATCCTTTGGTTGCATTAATATCAGGAGGCTTAGGCAGCACTGAAGATTCATTCTCTGCTCTTCTGGTCATTAGTATAATCTGAAGCTTTTGAAACTATTTGGTGATCCTATTTTGGGGCCCAATATCACAAAACCTTCAGGAGAATACTGGACCCAGGTGGAAGAATTTGAAGACTGGAAGACTTGCAGTTAAGGTAGAGTTATCATTAGCAGATCTTAGGGAAACAGGAATGCAGCCAGAATCACTTGATATTTATTAGAAATCAAGATTCACTGAATCATTTCTCTTTCAAAAAAATATCTTTAAAACTTGTATATTTTCAAATGTTCTTTTTTTAAAGAACGTATAAAATTAAGGTATTTGTGAAAATAAACCAGTTTCAAGTATACTTGTTTCTCTTCATTTTGCTTCCTTCAAAGGATTTCTTCTCATCAAGCACAAATGTGCTAACCTTTACAGCAAGACAAACTCTTCTGTGCTAAATCTTTTTAATCTTTTCTTTTCATCCTCTGAGAAAAGGTCTTCTTCATTGGCTGTAGTAGATGTAAAATCATAGTCTCTGGAATGACCATTTACAAAAGTAAATAAGGGATATTTCTCCTTAGAAGAAATTTTCAGCATCTGTAACAGAAAGAACAGAAGAATCCCTTATTGGATGCAATAGTACACAGTAGGACCACATGATGAAATCTAATGTTTTAGCCCTGAATCTCTCTTGTTAGCTTCTCTCATTTACATTTATCCAGTGCTACTGCTTTACTGTTCTGGCTAAAAGACAAAAGTTGATCAGCATTGTATAGTTTATTTATCGCTAAATACCTACTTCCCCATTAGGATTAGACCATCAGAAATTAACTATATCATCATTCCTACCCAAAACCCCCCAAAGTAAAGTCTTTTGGTCACATTTGTTTGAAGGCTTACTAGTGAGTTAAGATTTATCTTCTATTGGTGGTAACAGACAACAAAACAAAATGGTATCACTGATTATGGTAAAATACTGTGAATGACTGTTTAGTACCATAACACAGAAAAAAAATTAAACTAAGTCAAAAGGTCCATTCTAATCTCACTTCTACAACTTAACTTTGATGTGATCTTTGACAAATCACTCTACCTGAGTATCACCTATAAAACTGGGCAAAAGTTATCGAATCTCCTTATCTCAGAGAAATGTTAGGATGACCAAAAGCAATAAAAAGTTATTTTTTAAAATCAAGTTTGGTCTTTTCAAAGATTTCTATATTAAAAAAATATATTTCTGCAATAATCTAGTTAAGATGAAAAACAGTATTCTTATACACAGTAACAATCCACACTTTACATATTACCTTCTAAAGTTACATTACACAATTTAGAAGTAAAATAAGTAATATCTGGAATTTTGTGAGAACACCAACCACCTTTATATAACCTCTGTCAATTTGGGATTCATTGACAAGCCAACAACCCATTCTAAACCATTTAAATATTTCTGTTAAACAAAGTCTATTAAAAAATTAAAACAATTTTCATTTTAAGGTGAATAAAAATTTTTGAGTGAAGGATGTTTTTATAGAAATAAACATTTCTATAGGTAACCAGGACTTATAAGAAGGATTCTGAAAAGTTTATGTGAGTTACAAAGAATGCTGAAAAAATATCAATAGTACTTATACATCATTAATCATGATCAATTAAATATAATTTAAGGATAATTTTAGCAGTAAAAACTAAATTCTCCCAAATGTTGATATTCAACTGAAGGCTCATCAAATTCTTATATATTACATTTATAGATTCTCTTGGCTAAAATAAATATGTAGCCCTAGGATATAGATACAATGTTAAATTTAAAATATTTCAATGAGACAGTTAATATGAAATCCATTTTCTAATTGAGTGGAAATGAACCATTTAAAAACAATCAAGTACTTAAAAAACCAAATGTGATGAAATATGATTGATCCTATAATTCATATTCTGCTCCTGCTTTTTACACTTCTCAAATTCATTTAACTTATATTCTAAAAAAAAAAGGTAGAGAGAAGGGCAAAAATGTGGAAATGAAAAGTAAGAGACAGAGGGGGCCGGCATCTGATCAATCACCTTTCACCTCCAGCCAATGGCTGGAATACAGTCCAAAATTGTTACCATTTTATATTCATTTAACATCACTTATAAAGTCCAGTATCTAACAAGCAGGTATCATTGTATCATTTTCAACTCAACATGCAAAGCTAACATTATCATGTCTTCATCCTTTCTTTCAAAATCAAGACGCCTTTCAAATGCTTTTCAAAGCTCTAAGCACCATATCAAGAATTTTTTAGACTTTTTTTTATAAAGAATAACCATTGATTTGAACTTCTATTAGAAGGGAAAAGTTTAGTTTTCTTTTTTATACTACAAAATAGGATGCACTGTCAAAACATTAAGGTCCCTCCATAATGGATAATATAAAATCTACACAAAGAAAATTCCAAATTAGGTTATCTACATGACTTGGGGTATTATATCAATTGAGATATTATACAAAATAAAAATAATGAAAGACATTTAATAACTTGGGGAAATATTTAATATTTTGTTGTATTTCCTTCTAGATTTTTTAAAGTACATGTTTAAAATTACTTTAACAAAACTGAGATTAAATTTTATATATAGTGTTTATCCTGTTTTTCCTTTAACATTACATAATAAATACTGAACTACAATCCTACAGCCTGTGGAATGAAAACCACATTCACAGAAAGACAGACAAAATGAAAAGGCAGAGGACTATGTATCAGATGAGGGAATAAGATAAAACCCCAGAAAAACAACTAAATGAAGTGGATAGAGGTAACCTTCCAGAAAAAGAATTCAGAATAATGATAGTGAACATGGTCCTAGACCTTGGAAAAAGAATGGAGGCAAAGACTGAGAAGATGCAAGAAATGTTTAACAAAGATCTAGAAGAATTAAAGAACAAACAAACAGAGATGAACAACACAACATCTGAAATCAAAAATACACTAGACAGAATCAATAGCAGAATAACTGAGGTAGAAGAACGGATAAGTGACCTGGAAGACAGAATGGTGGAATTCACTGCCACAGAACAGAATAAAGAAAAAAGAATGAAAAGAAATGACGACAGCCTAAGAGACCTCTGGGACAACATTAAATGCACTAACATTCACATTATAGGGGTCCCAGAAGAAGAGAGAGAGAAAGAACCAGAGAAAATATTTGAAGAGATTATAGTCAAAAACTTCACTAACATGGGAAAGGAAACAGCCAGCAAGCCCAGGAAGTGCTGAGAGTACCAGGCAGGATAAACCCAAGGAGAAACACGGCAAGACACATAGTAATCAAATTGACAAAAATTAAACACAAAGAGAAATTATTGAAAGCAGCAAGGGAAAAACGACAAATAACATACAAGGGAACTCCCATTAGGTTAAAAGGTGATTTCTCAGCAGAAACTCTACAAGCCAGAAGGGAATGGCATGATATATTTAAAGAGAGGGAAGAACCTACAACCAAGATTATTCCACCCAGCAAGGATCTCATTCAGATTCGATGGAGAAATCAAAAGCTTTACAGACAAGCAAAAGCAAAGAGAATTCAGCACCACCAAACCAGCTCTACAACAAATGCTAAAGGAACTTCTCTAAGTGGGAAACACAAGAGAAGAAAAGGACCTACAAAAACAAACCCAAAACAATTAAGAAAATGGTAATAGGAACATACATGTCGATAATTACCTTAAATATGAATGGATTAAATGCTCCAACCAAAAGACACAGGCTTGCTGAATAGATACAAATACAAGACGCATATATATGCTGTTTATAGGAGACCCACTGCAGACCTAGGGACACATACAGACTGAAAGTAAGGGGATGAAAAAATTTTCCATGCAAATGGAAATCAAAAGAAAGCTGGAGTAGCAATACTCATATCAGACAAAATAGACTTTAAAATAAAGAATGTTACAAGAGACAAGGAAGGATACTACATAATGACCAAGGGATCAATCCAAGAACATATAACAATTATAAATATATATGCACCCAACATAGGAGCACCTCAATACATAAGGCAACTGCTAACAGCTATAAAAGAGGAAATTGACAGTAACACAGTAATAGTGGGGTAACCTAACACTTCACTTACACCAGTGCACAGATCATCCAGACAGAAAATAAATAAGAAAATACAAGCTTTAAACGACACAACAGACCACACAGATTTAACTAATATTTATAGGACATTCCATCTGAAAACAGCAGATTACACTTTCGTCTCAAGTGCGCATGGAACATTCTCCAGGACAGATCACATCTTGGGTCACAAATCAAGCCTTGGTAAATTTAAGAAAATTGAAATCTAACAAGCATCTTTTCCGACCACAATGCTATGAGAATAGAAATAAATTACAGGGAAGAAAACATAAAAAAACACAAACACATGGAGGCTAAACAATACATTACTAAATAACCAAGAGATCATTGAAGAAATCAAAGAGGAAATCAGAAAGTACCTAGAGACAAATGACAATGAAAACACAATGATCCAAAACCTATGGGATGCAGCAAAGGAAGTTCTAAGAGGGAAGTTTATAGCAATAAAATCCTACCTCAAGAAACAAGAAAAATCCCAAATAAACAATCTAAACTTACACCTAAAGGAACTAGAGAGAGAAGAACAAACAAAACCCAAAGTCAGCAGAAGGAAAGAAATCATAAAGATCAGAGCAGAAATAAATGAAATAGAAACAAAGAAAACAATAGCAAAGATCAATAAAACTAAAAGCCAGTTCTTTGAGAAGATAAACAAAATTGATAAACCTTTAGCCAGACTCATCAAGAAGAAGAGGGAGAGGACTCAAATAAGTAAAATTAAAAATGAAAAAGGAGAAGTTACAATGGACCCCAAAGAAATACAAAGCATCATAAGAGACTACTACAAGCAACTCTATGCCAATAAAATGGACAACCTGGAAGAAATGGACAAATTTTTAGAAAAGCACAACCTTACCAGACTGAACGAGGAAGAAATAGAAAATATAAACAGACCAATCACAAGCACTGAAAGTGAAACTGTGATTAAAAATGTTCCAACAGGGCTTCCCTGGTGGCACAGTGGTTGAGAGTCCGCCTGCTGGTGCAGGGGACACGGGTTCGTGCCCCGGTCCGGGAAGATCCCACATGCCACAGAGCGGCTGGGCCCATGAGCCATGGCCGCTGAGCCTGCGTGTCTGGAGCCTGTGCTCCACAAAGGGAGTGGCCACAACAGTGAGAGGCCCATGTACCGCAAAAAAAAAAAAAAAAAAAAAAAATGTTCAAACAAACAAAAGCCCAGGACCAGATGGCTTCACAGGCAAATTCTATCAAACATTTAGAGGAGCGCTAACACCTGTGTTTCTCAAACTCTTCCAAAATATAGCAGAGGGAGGAACACTCCCAAACTCATTCTACGAGGCCACCACCACCCTGATACCAAAACCAGACAAAGATGTTACCGAAGAAGAAAACTATAGGCCAATATCACTGATGAATATAGATGCAAAAATCCTCAACAAAATACTAGCAAACAGAATCCAACAGCACATTAAAAGGATCATACTCCATGATAGTGGGATTTATCCCAGG